CAGGCCCAGGACACCGCTCCTTGCTGGCGGGACAGGAGGGGACAGCTTCTCTGCCATGGGGACAGTGAGGGTGGCCTTCCCAGGGCCAGAGAGGACGGTCCCAGGAGCCCTGTCCCCCCGCAGCTCGGTTCCACCTGAGCAGCCCCTAGCAGCAGGCAGGGCGGCCTGGGCCTTGCAGGGACTCGGGGCAGCATCTGCTCTGGGGGGACCTGGCCTGTGCTCTCCCTGCCACCGACCCTCCAGCGCTGCGCCCCGCGACGCCTGCCCCGCACGCCAGAGCCTTCCACCCCTGCCTGGGCAGGAGCCAAACCCGGAAGGAAAAGTGGAGTCTGCCCTGCTCCTGTGCTGCCCGCTGCCCCCAGAACCCTTCCTTCTCCCCGTCTTTCTCTTTCCTCTTCTTCTCTCTTCTCCTTTTCTGTACTGGGAAGGGCACCCAGGGGCAGTGCCACTGAGCTGTGCCCAGCCCTTCGTAGTTTTTATTTGACTGTCTCAGGAGGCCGCCCAGGCTGGCCCGCGATGGCCGTCCTCCTGCCTCCCCCTCCGAGTGCTGGGGGTGGGCGTGTGCCCGGGCTCGCCTGCCCGAGCGTCTCTTAGGTGAACCAGCTGATGGATCCCTGTGCTTTGTGGACCTGGGTGACGGAGGCCGCCTCGGGTCTCAGCCTTCCCATCTGTAAAGTGGGGTGGCCGTGGGACCCCCCGTGGAGTCTGTGGGAATAACAGACAACCAAGATGCGGCCAGGGCTGTCACAGAGCCGGCTGTACAGGCAACACCATTACCACTGCCACCGCCACCACAACCACCATCACAACCTTCACCACCATCACCATCATCACTGCCACCGCCACCATCACCATCACCACCACAACCTTCACCACCACCATCATCACTACCACCATCACCACCACCATCACCATCACCACCGCTATCACCATCATCACCACCATCAGCACCATCATCACCACCACCACCACCACTACCACCTTCACTACCACCACCATCACCACCACCACCATCACTACCACCACCATCATCACCACCATTACCATCACCACCACCACCACCACAACCTTCACCACCACCATCACCATCACCACCGCTATCACCATCATCACCACCATCAGCACCATCATCACCATCACCACCGCTATCACCATCATCACCACCATCAGCACCATCATCACCACCACCACCACCACTACCACCTTCACTACCACCACCATCATCACCACCATCACCATCAAACCACCACCACCATCACTACCACCACCATCACTACCACCACAACCTTCACTGCCACCACCACCATCATCATCACCACCACCATCATCATCGCCACCACCATCACCATCATCACCACCACCACCACCACCATTTCCTCCTCCTCCCTCTTCATTGTCCTCTTCCCTCATCTTCATGGTGCGATCAGACACCAGCATTAAGGAAGGCTTTAATTGGCATTCCAGGGAGACTGGGGTGGGGACTTGGGCAGAAAGTAACCAGGGCAGTGACATTTCAGGTGAGACCAAAATGAAGTCAAAGAGAGACATGCAGGGAAGGTGCAGAGGCCCTGTGGCAGGACTGAGCCTGGTGAGTTGGAGGCTCAGTGAGGGGCCATGTGGCTGGAGCAGAGGGAAGGGGAGGCAGGGAGGGAAGGGGCAGGAGGTTCAGGAGGCTTTAGATTCTATTCTAAGGTGTGACGCTGTCTCCAGCAGAGGACAAACAGCGACCGTACCTACAGGGCCGAGAGACCAGGTGCTTCCCCTTGGGGCAGAGCCAGAGAGCCCAGCTCCTGCAGAGCAGCCTGCGCAGGCTCTGTCTCTGCAGCCAGGCAGGAGACAGCGCGTGGCTGCGGCCGCGGAGCCCAGCACAGGCCTGGATAGAAACCGCCCGAGGCACGAGATAGGGAGAGGCCCCTGCACACACCGCCACAGCACCAGCGAAGGAGAGTGACCCAGGAAAACCGCCCCAGAGGGGGTGGGAGGGGAAGGACCTCACTCCCCCCACCCCGGGGCCAGGGCCCTTCAGCAGGTGGCGGGCGGCGCCCCCTCCTCCCTCCCGCGCCCACTGCCTTGAGCCCCGCTCCTGGAGCCCGGGCCCTCCCCACGGCCGTGCCTGCCTGCGCCCGGCCTTGCTCATTCCCCAGGGGTGGCTGCGGGCAGCACGGTGTCTGCTCAGGTGCTCATCCAGCTGCCCAAATACAGCTTCAGTTGGACATTTCGTTGCACTTTGTCCCCAGGAGCAGTGCCCTGTCGTAACTGATGGCAACCGGGTTGTCTTCCTCCCACAGCTCTGCCGTGCCCTCCCCAGGCACGCAGCCCCCAGGGTTCCACACTAACAACTAGATCTAACCACTGATTGCTTGATTGATCCCCAAATGATGGACTTTTAGGGTAGACCCTTCCCTCCCACCACCCCGTTAACGAGGTCTCAGCTGTTGGTACAGATAAATCTCTCCACTCCACGTCCTGGACTGATCCCGTGTTGATGGACACCTAGATCAGGTCATCCATTTTTGTCTGTCAGTACCTGCCAACCTTCCTGCATATCCTGACACAGACTAGGATTTATTTTCACAATCCCCTATTGAGGGACACTTAGGTTGGTTCCACTTCTTCACTGTTTTAAGAACACGGCAGAAAGCCCTCCTGTCTGCGCCACTGTGCGGGGCTGACCTTTCTGCAGGGTGCACGGGTGTGGTTGAAGCCCTGTGGTGGTCTTCTAGGGTGACCATAACCGATTACCAGGAACTGGGTGCCTTTAAGACAACAGAGACTTATCCCCTCTCAAGAGGCCCTTGGTGTCCCTTGGCTTGTAGATGCATCACTCAATCTGTGTCCTTGTCACTGTCACATGGCTGTCTCCGTATTTGCATTTTTTTTTTTAGTAGCAGACCTTGAAGCCAGCGGCACTGGTCCTGCCTGAGCTGCGCCCTAGCCCTGGGATCTCTGTGTCAAGGGGTTTTGCTCAGGTGCACCCCGCCTGCCTCGCCTCCCCACTCACCAGGAGAGCAGGTGGCAGGGACTCTTGCACCTGCCAGCTGCCAGCTCGGGGCCCTGGTCCAGCCTGCCTCCCGGTTGCCCCTGCCAAAGCGGCCCTCCCCACCACGTGTGGTTCCCAGCTCAGCATCAAAGAAGCCAGGAAGCCACTGCCCTCATGTCCAGCAGGTCAGGCTCTGGCCTGTCCCAGAGCCAGGTCTGAAGGGACAGGACGAGGGGAAGTGGGGGATGCCTGGGGCTTCAGCGGCTCAGAGGCCAAACACGGCCACCTGGCAGCCGGGCAGAAGAGGCGGGTGGTGCGGGCGGCTGCCATCTGGCTGTTCCTGCCACCCGACCCCATCTCAACCCCTGGGAAGGGTGGGCAGCCGGCGGTCAGCGAGCAGCAGGGGCCAGCAGGCTGCCCAGACGACCAGGAAGGCGCCCCCTCCGGGGCCTGCCGGGGCCTGGGCCTCCTGGCCACCACATTCCGCACCATCCGGCCCCGGGACCCCCACTCATTTCCACCTTCACGCCCGGCCTGCACCTGGGCTCTGCCGGCCTCCGCTCCACCCGGCCTCTGCCCAGACGTCCTCCAGCTGCAGCACCCTCCCGGCTGCCTTGGCCTTGAGGGTCCTGGGGCTGTCTGCTGAAGGCACCTGCCCTGTGCTCCCACTGCCTGAGGCCCGAGCCAGGCCAGCCAGGGTGGGGCTGGCCCCTCCAAGCCCCAGGAAGATCCCTGCCTCTCCCAGCTTCCGGGGGTTCCAGGTGTCGCCTGTCCCCATCTTCTCGTGGCGTTCCCCTCTCGTTGAAGGACACAGTCACTGGACAGAGGCCTGCCCGCCCCGTGTGGCCTCCCCAACCCTTCATACCCAGAGTCCCCACCTCTGAGCAAGGCCCCCCAAGACACCCAGAGCAAGACTCCAACTTTGAGTCTCCTTGGGGATCACAGCAGCCCCCGACAGAGTCCAGCTCAAGTGTCCCCTTTCCTGGCCTGGAGTCACCCCCTCTTACAATCCTGGTCATCCGTCGGCTGACTCCCGACTCGTGGAGGCCCAGCCCTTGCTTCCCATGAAGCACTGCTACTTGTCCCGCAGGGTGTGTCCAGCTCAGGCCCAGGCTTGGGGAGGGCGGAGGGGGGCCTGGAGGACACAGTGGGCCGGCATTAACACAAGTGGAAGGGTCCCGTGCCCCTCTCCCGTGGATGTGCACCCCAGGATGCAGGAGCCACGTCTGGCTTATGCACCACTGTACTCCAGCCTGTATACAACAGGCACTCCGTAAATGTCTGCCTCGTTCTGTGTATTTGCAGTGCTGGGAATCCAACCCAGGCAAGCGCCCTACCACTGAGCGACACCCCATCCCCGATGAATGTCTTTTTAAACAAAAGTACTGGCCTGTGTACGACTCCCCTCCAGGTCAGAGGGCCTTTCCTGCAGTGTTCCTACTGCGGTGACCGTCACATAGCACGAAAGTTCTCCAGTGCGTTCTGGACACTGCACCACCCCAGAAGGAAGCTCGGGCCCACCAGGAGCCGCCAGTCCCTCCCCAGCCCCAGCCCCCAGGAATCCACACCGTCTCTGGCCCAGCCTGTTTGGGACGTTTCCAGCCAATAGGGTCACACACTCCTTTGGGAGGGGGTCCTCTGTTGTGTGGGTCCTTGTCGCTGAGCACGAGGTCCTTGAGGGCCATCCACGCTGCGGGGTGTGTCGGGCCTCGCTGCTGCTCCAGGCAGAATCGTGCTCCAGCCTGTGCAGGGCCACGCTGTGTGCCCATTCCTGCACCCGTGGACACCTGACTGTCCCCACCTATTAGCAATGCTGTGTCAGTGAAATTTGTGCTCGGGTCTCGGGACACGTGCCCTCCTCCTGGGCGCAGATCCCCAGGAGCGGAGTGCCGCCCACACGGTGGGGCAGCCGCTCCCGGGGCCACCTGGGGTGGGCGCCCGCAAGGTGCTGACGCTGCCCCCGCCCGCCCGCAGGTGCGCTCGAGGATGCTGGCGCGGCCCTAGGCCCAGGCTCCGCACCATGACCGGCTGGCTGCGCGTGCTGAGCCTGCACCTGCTGCTGCTGCCCGCGGCGCCGCCCCCCGCCGGGGGCTGCCCGGCCCGCTGCGAGTGCGCCGCCCAGACGCGCGCCGTGGCCTGCGCGCGCCGCCGCCTGACCGCCGTGCCCGACGGCATCCCGGCCGAGACGCGCCTGCTGGAGCTCAGCCGCAACCGCATCCGCTGCCTGAACCCCGGGGACCTGGCCGCGCTGCCCGAGCTGGAGGAGCTGGACCTGAGCCAGAACGTCATCGCGCACGTGGAGCCCGGCGCCTTCGCCCACCTCCCGCGCCTGCGCGTCCTGCGCCTGCGCGGCAACCAGCTGAAGCTCATCCCGCCCGGGGTCTTCACGCGCCTGGACAACCTCACGCTGCTGGACCTGAGCGAGAACAGGCTGGTCATCCTGCTGGACTACACCTTCCAGGACCTGCACAGCCTCCGAAGGCTGGAGGTGGGCGACAACGACCTGGTGTTCATCTCGCGCCGGGCCTTCGCGGGGCTGCTGGCCCTGGAGGAGCTGACCCTGGAGCGCTGCAACCTCACGGCCCTGTCCGGAGAGTCGCTGGGCCATCTGCGGGGCCTGGGCGCCCTGCGGCTGCGACACCTGGCCATCGCCGCCCTGGAGGACCAGAACTTCCGGAAGCTTCCGGGGCTGCTGCACCTGGAGATCGACAACTGGCCGCTGCTGGAGGAGGTGGCCGCGGGCAGCCTGCAGGGCCTCAACCTGACCTCGCTGTCCGTCACCCACACCAACATCACCGCGGTGCCGGCCGCCGCGCTGCGACACCAGGCGCACCTGACCTGCCTCAACCTGTCCCACAACCCCATCAGCACCGTGCCGCGCGGGTCCTTTCGGGACCTGGTCCGCCTGCGGGAGCTGCACCTGGCCGGGGCGCTGCTGGCCGTGGTGGAGCCGCAGGCCTTCCTGGGCCTGCGGCAGATCCGCCTGCTGAACCTGTCCAACAACCTGCTGTCCACGCTGGAGGAGAGCACCTTCCACTCGGTCAACACGCTGGAGACGCTGCGCGTGGACGGGAACCCGCTGGCCTGTGACTGTCGCCTGCTCTGGATCGTGCAGCGCCGCAAGACCCTCAACTTCGACGGGCGCCTGCCGGCCTGCGCCACCCCCGCCGAGGTGCGCGGCGACGCGCTGCGCAACCTGCCCGACTCGGTGCTCTTCGAGTACTTCGTCTGCCGCCAGCCCAAGATTCGCGAGCGCCGGCTGCAGCACGTCTCCGCCACCGCGGGCGACGACGTCCGCTTCCTCTGCCGCGCAGAGGGCGAGCCGGCGCCCACCGTGGCCTGGGTGACGCCGCAGCACCGCGCCGTGACGGCCACCAGCGCCGGCCGGGCGCGCGTGCTGCCCGGGGGCACGCTGGAGATCCTGGACACGCGGCCGCAGGACAGCGGCACCTACACGTGCGTGGCCAGCAACGCCGGCGGCAACGACACCTACTTCGCCACGCTGACGGTGCAGCCGGCGCCGGCCGCCAACCGGACCCTGGGCGAGGGCCGCAACGAGACGCAGGTGGCCGCGCGCTTCCCGCTGGACCTCACGGCCATCCTGGTGTCCACCGCCATGGGGTGCATCACCTTCCTGGGCGTGGTGCTCTTCTGCTTCCTGTTGCTCTTCGTGTGGAGCCGCGGCCGCGGGCAGCACAAGAACCACTTCTCGGTGGAGTACTCCTTCCGCAAGGCGGAAGGGCCAGCCGCGGCCGCGGGCCAGGGCGGAGCCCGCAAGTTCAACATGAAGATGATTTGAGGGGCGCTGGGGCCTCGCGGGGCTGGAAGCCCTGGGCCCAGTTGGGGAAGCCTGATCCTGGTCAGATTACCAGACTGATTTCCACCTATGCATTTTCCCAAGGGGGAAGGGGAAACTGCAAGTCGGCTAACTGGTAGAACTTCCCCTTTTTTGTAGACACCCAACCACAGACTGTTTTTCATCAGAAAGCATCTTTTGTAGTTTCTCAAGTGTTTTCTAAAGGTTACAACCTATCTTCCTGCCCCAGCTATGGTCCCTGGGTTGGGGGTAGGAGTGGGTGGAGGGACGGATTGCTGGGCGGCTCAGAGGCCCCCAGGGTCCCTGTGGCCTGCAGTTCACAACCAGGAGGCCCCTGATTCTGCCCTCCCCGTCCCTGCCCACACAGCTCCCACATCTGGGGAGACAGTCTACACAGACGCCCCACAGAAGGGACAGCCCCTAGGAACCCGTCCCCAGAGAGTCAATGCTGCGCACACCCAGAGACACACACTCACACCTGGGGCCGTCACGCTGCTTGGAAGTGGGACACCTCACGCCCCACACAGCTGTGCAGCAGCCCGCTCCCAGCCCCCACCAGGACCCGCGGGCTGCCCCCAGGAGAAGCCATGTCCCCAGCTTCCTCCACGGCCCTCACGCTGGCCCAGCCTCCCTGGCCTGGCCCAGGGGCCCTCTAGACAGGCAAGCTGCACGGGTCGTCCACCCTGAGAGCCTTGGACCCCTGAGCCAGCTCAGACCAGCCCCAAATGTCCCCCAGCACCTGGCCCCTGCTGACCCTTGCTCTGGGGGCTGGAGCAGGGTCAGGGCTGCACCCCAGGGCAGCGAGCAGGCCGGCCCATGACCTGACCCACCCAGCTCCGACCCGCCCTCCGCCTCCACCAGCGGACAGTTGGGACACTGAGGAAGGGCACGGGAGCCCGCAGGCTGGCCTGAGCCGGGCTGGGACAGTCTCCTCGGAGGTTCCAGAGGCCGCGTCAGTGGGAGCTCTCAGCTGGACTGAGGACCGCCCAGGCCCCCGGTGTCCTCCGTGAGTGGGTCTGGGCACCCCCGTCCGGGCCTGCGGAAGGGCTTGGTGGCTCCACTTGGATCCGGGATCTGGGGATCAGGAATCTCGCAGGGAGAAAGCAAGCTGGCCGCGCGCACAGGGGTCAGGCGAGCCTGGGGGACGCGGCCCAATCTCCCGGGGCTGGGACTGGGTATGTGGGAGCCTGGCCCTGCCCGTGGTGGACCAGAAGGTGAGCGCTGCCCTGGACGGTGGCCAGGTCCGCTCTGTCCCCTAGCCTCCTCCTGACCTGGGTCGCCATGACAACACGGAGGCCCTCAAGACGACGACATCCAAGTGCCTTCAGCCTCCTCGAGACAGGAGGGCGCCGGCCCGTGCCACAGGGCGGCAGGGCATGGTCTCCGCCCCTCTCCCCGTTCCAGCAGGTGCCACCGTCCCCCCTGCTGTATGTGACTGGACCCAATAAAACGGAGACGGGTTTAATCACAAGTTCACGTTGTTCCCTGGGAGGAGCAGGGCGGGAGGCTGCGGTGAGGAGGCTCCCGGGGACCCAGAGAGGCTGTCACCAGAGGCCCCTCAGGGCACCCACTGTTCTGTTCCAGGCACTGGGGGCACCACCCTGAGGACAGCCTGTGAGCTGGTGCCCTCTGATCCTGATTTCCAGATGGACCGAGGGAGGCTGGAGGGTAGAAGGGGTGGGACCGGAGGCCACACGAGGGAGGGAGGGAGGGCCGATGGGCCGGCAGGCCATCGGGGTAACTGGGGACCGGAGCTCAGGCAGGGGCAATGAGAAAGCAGGTCTCCACAGGGCCCTGGGGGAGTCACCTCCCCTGGGGGCCTGTCCCCTGCCTTGGCAAGGCCGAGCCCTGCAGCAGCACTGGTGAGTGCTCACACCTGACCCCTGGCCGAGGGGACACCAGGGCACAGAGAATGACACACCTGGTGTCAGGGCTCAGACCCCACCTGTCCCCGAGGCGGCAGGAGACACCTGTCCTCGCTCTGGGAGGAGGAGGATGGGGTCAGGGTGGACCCCAGGGGCCACGGCCCAGAACAGCCTCCCTGGCTGTCCAGTGTTGGTTGCCTGGCCTCAGCTTCCCCGACTGACAGGGGAAGGAGGCTCCTGTCTCTCCCTGCCCTCTGGGGGGTGGAGGTCAAGGGACAGCCCGAAGGCGGGCGGCTGGCTGGACATGGTGGCTTGCTTTCCCCTCTGTCCTTTGGCAGAAGCAGGGAAATGTGCCTCAGGGCCCCTGGAGGGCCGCCCAGTCCTGTCCAAGGCCTCTGAGTCCCCGATTCAAACCAGGAACGATGCCCAAGCTTCCCTATGTCACCCGTGGAGGGGACAGAAGGAGAGGCCCCGCTACAGAGGCCTCCTCCACAGGATGAGGCCCGGCCAAAGGGGAGGCCGCCTCCATGGGAGCTGGAAAGCCAGAGGCAGCCCTCGGAGTCTGTGGGCCAACCACGGGGAGCCCCAGGTAGCCCAAGGCCACGCACCTCCGACCCCATCACACATGGACACCCGGGGCTGCCCTCCCTCCCTCGGCCCCCACACTGCCCCTCCTCCCCTCCCCATGGGCAGGACGGTCCCCTCGGCCCCCACTCTGCCCCTCCTCCCCTCCCTGTGCGCAGGACGGTCCCTCCGTCTCTTCAGGTTCTTCCTCCCGTTGTTCGTGTTGGTCCCCTGAGGGGTTTGCTTGAGGTTCCAGGGGAGGCTGCTGCTGTGTACCCCAGGGCAAGCTGAGGCCCTCTCTGTGCCTTGGTGCTCAGGGCTAGTATCCCTGTTTTCCTGGATATGCAGGGTGAAGCCATCGGGCTCCCTCCCCTGTCACCACCTTAGGGTCCGCGCCTTAAGACCCAGCAAATGGGGGCTGGGCTGGGGCTCAGAGGCAGAGCGCTCGCCTGGCACGTGTGAGGCCCTGGGTTCGATTCTCAGCTCCACATAAAGATAAAGACATTGTGTCCACCTAAAACTGAAAAATAAATACTGAAAAAAGACAGAAGGGGATGATGCCAGTGGGTGGCGCACACCTGTCATCCCAGCAGCTCAGGAGGCCGAGGCAGGAGGATTGCGAGCCTCTTGGGAGGTTGAGGCAGGAGGATCATGAGTCCAAAGCGAGCCTCAGCAACAGCGAGGCCCTGAGCAGCTCAGTGAGACCCTGTCTCTAAGTAAAATGCAAAACAGGGCTGGGGACAGCTCAGTGTCCGTCCCGAGTTCAATCCGTGGTGTCAACAAACAAAAAAGCACAGAAGCCTTCCCTGGGTTTCAGGAGCTCAGAGTCTAAAACGGGAGGCCAGGGCTGTTCCCCCCGAGGCCCGGAGAGTCCTCACCTGCCTCCTCAGCTCCAGAGCCAGCGGCACAGCGTCCTCAGCCTCTCTCTGGCCCTCCTGCCCCCCTCATGTGGACCCTGTGGTGACACTGGGCCCCGATGACCAGGGTGACCTCACCTCAAAGCCAGCTGTTAGCAGCCCCATTTCACCAACTTGGCTCCCCTGGCTGAGCCCGTGCCACAATCGCCGGCCCTGGGGACGGTCACAGACATCTTTGGGGCCACTCTTCTGCCCACCACATGGACATCCATGCCCCCTGCCCCGCGCAGGCGAGGTGGGTGGCCCCGGCGCCCGGAGCTCGGTGGAAGCCTGGAACCCAAGGACAGCCCTGGGACCGGGGCCACTTGCGTGGACATCCCTGACTAGACACTGCGACCCTGCTCTGGCCACCCTCAGCCTCTGCCCTGCTCCCAGCAAAGCTTTAGTCACAAGCTGCCGACCAGCCACCGCGTGCCACTCGGACCCCTGCAGTCAGGCCCCATGGAACATCTCATCACAATGTCACGCGTCAGGCGGAGGCCACGCTGCCGTCCCCGCCGCTCGGGAGGCTGAGGCAGGAGGATGGCAAGTTCACGGCCAGCCTGGGCAACTCAGCAAGGTCCTACCTCAAAATAGAAAATGGAAAGCGCCTTCGGCCTCTGAGCGACCCTGGGCCCGCTGGCCAGGCCTGGCCCTCAGGGGACGATGCCCTGGCCTTGGCCCCCAGCCCCAGGGGAGCACCTCTGGGCCTGGCCCTCGCCCAGATCCCAGCCAGGCGGGGACACTGGCCGGGACACCTGCCCCAGGCTCTGGAGGGGGCACAGCGGGCGGTCTTGTCCCCCTGCCCTCTCCACCTAGGACAGCAGGACCGTAGGAGCCCAGCCTCGCGCAGCCTGCAGGCCGCGGTGCTCCGGCCTAGTCCACGCCTCCCGGGTGCCGGGGACAGTGGAGCTGGACCCTGAGCCGGGAGGATGAGGCAGGCCGAGTCTGGGGAGGTGGCCTCCAGCTAGAAGTGCCTCCACAGGCGGGGGGGGGGGGGGGGGACGGGAGGGGCTCAGGTGACGGGGGCCAGCCCCGACCTTCCCCAGGGGACGGGCACCGCGCTCAGGCTGCACAGCAAGCACGTCCCTGCCCTGTGGGGACGCCGCCGGGCAGGACCCGGGGTCTGGCCAGGGGTGAGGCTTGGCGTGTGCTGGAGCGGATCCCTGGCTGCTGGCCCCTCGTTCTGACCACAGCTTCCCGTTGGTGGCTCCTGCATGTCCACGTCTTCCACAGATGGACGCGGGGACAGGAAGTGGGACGAGGAAATCTGCTAAGAATCCACATCTGGAGCAGAAGGTGGGAGCCAGCTCTTTGGTTGCTGCAGCACAGAGAGGGACGGCGGTGTGACATGGTCACACAGCCGGCAGAACAGAGCCGGCAGGGTCCTTGCTGGAGGCCGCGGTCCGGGACCCAGTGGGGGTGCCCCGGGGCGTCTCCGGGGCCTGCCGAGGGGACCCCCCTTCTCCCAGGATGGAAGTTGCTGGGCCTCCTCTCGCCCAAGGTGGGGCAGCTGGATGTGCCCGGGTCCCCGTCTCACAGGGGTCCCCACTGCCACCCAGCATGGCCCTCAGACCTCAGCCCGTCCTTCCTCCTCCCCCCGCTCCGCGGGCAGCCCGGGCCTGGTACCGGGCCCACCTCCCATCTTGCCCAGGCTGCTTCCCCCGCACGGTCCCCGCAGGCCGGGGGAGGAGGCCGCGGCTGGGGAAGTGATGCCACGAGTCCCGGCCCCACCCCCGGCCAGCCTGCGGTCTAACCGCTGACCAGTGCTTCCTGAACCCTCCCGGGAGGCCGAGGGCCCCAGCCGCTGGGATCCTGGCCCCAGGGTGGTCCCCGAGGTCACGCCAGTCCTGAAGGTAGGGGTCCTCGAGGGGCGGGAGGAAGCAGCAACTTTTCAAGGTTGGGGGTAGGTAGGGGTGGCCAGAAAGGGCAAGGAACTCACTGAGTGTCACACAGCAGTCAAGGCTGGAGGGAGCCGGAGACAGCAGCTCTGCTCAGAGCCCTCCCCCACGTGTGTGGTCCCCTGCAAGTGCCCACCCACCTTCCCGCAGCACCATGAGCGGCCCTGAGCCAGGCGCCAAGAGCCCGGAGTCCGACCGCCTGCCCTGGTCAGCTCAGCCCATCTACAGCAACCTCGGTGAGCAGCCCAGCTCAGGGGCCCTGTCCTGGGGGAGAGCAGGGGCAAGTGCTAGACTCAGGGGTGTGACGGAGACAGGGGACAACAGGGCAGCAGACTGTAAAGATGGCCACCAGCTCAGAGCCATGTGGGAAAATGGGGGTCCCCGGTGTTGGAGTCTCTAAGACTGACCCCCCTCCTCTGAGCCCGGGCTTCTCTCCTGCAGACTGGGGGTGGCAGCCCGTCCTACAGGACAAGAGGTGGCTGGTGTTTCCATTTTAACCAGGCGGCGGCCACAGCTGTCATCCCAGCAGCTCTGGAGGCTGAGGCAGGAGGGCCAGAGTTCGAGGCCAGCCTCAGCTACTTAGCAAGATCTGGTCTCAAGATAAAATAAAAGGGCTGGGGTGCGGCTCTTGGAGGGCGCTCTGCTCCTGACCCTCAAAAGGCAAACCAACCAACCCACGTTTCACTTCAGAGACAGGGAGACGCGGGGGGTGCCAGGGCCCACATCCTGCCTGTCCTCAACAGGCCCCTCTCTCCCGACAGGAGAGGTGCGTGCCCACCTGCTGCCCTCCAAGGCCTGCCGCCCCCGGACTCCCAGGTCCCTCTCCTCTGACCCCCAGCCCCCACCCCCGCCCCTGCCCAAGAAGACCCTCGCCCGAACCCAGTCCCTGCCCACCCACAGGGCCCCCGGCCCCAGCTCGGCCCGAGCAGGGCAGCCTCGGCGGCCCCTCCAGAGGTCCCCCAGTGAGGACGTGAGCCGGGCCACGGCGCTGACCTTGGACGGACCCCGTGCCGCGCTGGGCCTCTCCGCCCACCCCCTGAACAGCCCCGAGGCCGTGCAGGCCGCACTGGCCGCCCGGCAGCTGGACGCCCTCCGTGACATCCATGCGAGGCTCCGAGCCCGGCTCATGGGTGGCCGCCCGGGCCCCTGCCTCCCGGGCCACAGCTTCCGCCTGCTGGACAGCTTGCCCTGCGTGGAGAGCGGGGAGGCCCTCTACTACCGCGTGGTGCGCGTGGACGGGGTGGCCTGGCACGTCCTGGCTGCCAAGGTGAGCCTGCCCCTGGCACCCAGCACACCCGGGTGCCCTCCCTCCTGGGCACGACCCAGGGTGTGCTGGTGTTGCCCAG